GTAGCCTACGCAGGGCTTTATTCGGCTCATTGCTTTTTATTTAACCAAAAACGATGTATTCATAGACATGGAATTTAAGACATATTAGCATTCTTGTCGCTTTGGGTTTATATTGGGAATTTAACTTAATCGTTGTTGTTAACCTTAAACTATTGCTTTTCCGTATTACAGCCTTTGTAACAAAGAAAAACACTCTGAGATAGCACGTCGAAAGAAATAGTAATTTTCGGGTACCGGTATGTATTTTATAATATGTAGCAGTTTAAACCTGTAACACCACATTCTTTGCATGGCATGGCGGCGTATGGACGTGTAGGCGGGCGCCGTCGACCGCAAGTGTATTGCTATTGTCATGATCAACTTGTTCATCTAATCTCTGTATAAGTGATGATACATTCCGTTTTAGAAGCATGCAATATTAAGTCAAAAAGAAACTAAAAAGCACGTGTTTGCTGAGTCAATGATACCACACTTTGAACCAACCTTTCTTTAAAATAATGCCCGAATGTTAATAAAAAGTGGGTTCTTTGCTTGTATGAGTGTCATATTCTTGGTGTGCTGCCCAAGTCGGTCGTCGGTAGTATTCAATTTAATTCAATTTGCTTCGGACTACCTTAGAGCATATTCGAAAGCCCTCCAGTTACCTCAGGAGGAATACCAGCACGGTAACACTTTCGGGAATCTTCGACAGCCTTCGTTTTAACTCCGTTTAGGTGAAATTGGAAATTGGCTTTGGGCAACTTTAGACAAACTTCGAGAATTTTCTGTCAGCTACAGATGAGTTTCGGAAATGAAGGAAAGGCAAAGAAATTTATACTACTAGGACACCTTTTGTTTTAATTTTCCTTGTACCATACGAAACTAAAAAAAGGACGACGATGACGATGAGTTTGATACATAACAGGAAATTCGTGATGGATTGGTGACATTGGTTCATGTCATTTTTAGTAAACGCTCGTGCATAAATATAAAATGAGAACTTGTCATTTCTGCTGGGCGATTTCTCTCAGTATTATCTGCAGACAACGAATACATTTCACTTTGGGGTCGATCAGTTTAGAGTCTACTGCTTAACGGAAGTTAGAAAGTCAGCTGAGCAACGAATCTGCAATCTGACAAACCAGCGTATATCTGGTTGATTCCGAAGGGTTAGTGCGGGTTAGGATCCTGGTTGTTCTGCATGGCTTAGTGCAAATCTGGATCCCAGTTTACTACATGTTGCTACAGTCACTTGCAGTCACTATCTCTTATTGGACAACTTACTTCTCACTTGGGGCAAAAACTTGGGTTAGGGAAAGGGGTAGGCGGGCAGTTTCCCAGAACCTAAATTGATCTGACAACTCCACAAAGAAGACGCTTTCCTTAACTCTTCCAAAGCGAATTCTTAACGTTAGGCCCCGTCCACACGAATCCGTTTTAGTTTGAGAACGGACATCTGTTTTCCTCCGGTATGAAAACGTATCTTTTCTCCAGAATGGAGATTTTCAAAAACGCTGAAGGTTTTCAAATACGATGATGTCGTGCATCATATGCTACTAGCATTACGCAGGCTCTGTGCGGGATGCTGTTATGGTATTTCCATCGTTTTAGCATTTTCATGTGGACGGACGGATAAGTGTGGACGAGCATTTTTTTTTTCGGAAACGGAGGGAAAAAAATCTCCTTGTTCAAAAATATCCGGATACTTAACACTTAGTGCGGATGCTGGAAGAATGTCCCTCTTGAAAGTTTACTCTACTGCTGTGACCCGTAGCGGGTTCAAGGCGTCCTCAAGATACCTTATAACGTAGAAATCTATCTTAAAAACCAGCCGACGGGGGTGCAGTCATTAGGTTGGTTGGAATTTGGTTTTCTCAATTTAAGCTTGTCACGTTTTCTTTGCGGGTTACCTTTCATACATTCAACACAGTGACAGTTGCTTACGATGCCACCTGGTTACATGGTCTATTGATTCTAAACACTCCCCCACTACGCCCCCTCTCCCGATAGTTTATCCAAGGTTTATCATTCATTTTGCCAGACTAATCCTCCCACTCTTTGTTGATGACCGGCTAACATTCGCGGGATTGCCTCGAATGAGGAGTATGCAATCTTTCATTGAAACTCTTACATCTAATAAAATATAGATAGAGCTACGCTGCGCTCATAGCTCTCTAAAATACAAGGAAATGTTTCATAGTGGCAAAATTAAGTTACATGAACTTGTATTGCTTAATTACTGTGGGCTTTAAAAAGTTACTCATGTGAGCCTACCTTACTATGACTTTAGCATGTCTTCAATCCACAGAACGTAGCCAATAAGGCGTTACACGTTTGTACCAATTTGAGAGCGTTGTAATGGCATACATAAACTCATCATACCAGATATAGTGGCCTCTACTGGACTGATCGTGAAGCGATTAGAGGAGACTAGACCAGACGTGTTCTTTTTGCGTCACATTCCTCGTTCCATGCGTTCCTTACAGCCGCGGCCCTTTTATAAAAAGTTGCATTTTTGGCCTTTATTCACGTAATTCACTAATTATCAAGTTTTAAGAAATAAGTATTCTTATTCTTTATTCAATTTTTATCAAGTCCTCTTGAATAAAGCGATTTTTTGGTCGTGGTATCTGCGTATACCATCAATATAGTTGAAAAATTCAAGAGATTTCCTGAAGATTACGCGTCGGATGTATATTACAAATTCTGCTTTTTATAGAACCAGAACCACAGTTATTGTATTAATTATACGCAAATTGTCAGCCCGATGTCGTGCATTCTCTCACGCAACTTTGTTGTTATTTACACGCAAGAGTGCCTTATTTCCAGTTCTTTTATATTACATGCAACTGGGGGATTATTCTTGTGGACACCACGTCGTTGGAATTGCGCCCCAATATAAAAGCCGCTCATCGTATGATATTCTAAAGGGTATCATGAGTGAATATGTTATTTTATTTTATTTATTTATTTTTAAACAATATTTAGTCAGGGGCCCTGATGAAAAAGAAAAAACAGCACACGAGACAAATAAAGAAAAAAAATGGTGCTACTAAGGTTTGACGTGGTTTAATTTTATCCTTGTCTTAAATTTTATTTTTCTTTGTTTCAAACTCATTACCATACATTACTATACCCACAAGCAAAAGAAAACCAAATTTAAACCAAGCTTAAACTTGAACCCCAACATACACATCGGTAAACATAATTTATATCTGAAAATGGTTACTTAACATTGAATTTTAAAGTTATTGAATTTTAATGTAAAATTAAAATGCGTCTTTAAGATTTGAACTTGCGCGGAAATATTCATGACGTGGAGCGTATTAGACCTGACATAATGCAAACTTTCATATGATAATTTTTTGTTTCTTTGTTTTTGTTAATGTTGTTGTTGTTGTTGTTAAATTTCAGTATGTTTGGATCTGCTTATTTGTACCACAATTCCCCCCAAAATGAGCGATAAAATTAAGACGAAATGTTTACGAGAAATTGACAAATAGTAAAAAAGTAACTATTCCTTATTCCTTCTGTAATTATTTATGAGTTTTTGTCTAGTTTATTGAGTGTTTCGAGTTTTTCCTGGAGTGTGTTTTATACATGACATCAGCTACAATTATAATATACAAAGCTATAATTGGATAGAAGCTGATAAACGTAGACGGACCAAATTGTAGCTTTTAGCTTCTTACTCATTCAAATAAGGTTAATCTAAAGAAACTTCAACAACAGATGACGTTTGCTACATTTTTGAAGGCTAGAGTGGTTTTACTTGAACCGTGAAACAGATAATAAAAACTGGTGCAAAATATATAGCTACATAAACAAGAGAAGACAACAGAGTTTGTGCATGATAGTGCGCAGTATTCTACTACCTGTTTCACGGGTTAAGTATAATCACTCTATGTTATTATTTTTGAAGTAGGGCCTTTAAGACAGTGTCAACGTCAAACGAAAATTCCGATCGATTTTTTTTCCTTTTTTCAAAGAAAAGTCAGTACCCATTCCAAACAATGCGAGTTTCAACTGAGTCTTGTTAGCTGCGTCTCCGCGTCTCCTGCTTAGGCAGGCTAATTGCGCCCCACCCTCCCAGCCCTTATGATTTGCATTGCTTTGTTAATGCTGATTGAAAGGTTAAACAGACCTTTTTCGGTTCTTTCGCTTTTCTTAGCGTCTTGTTGTCGTTCATGAACAAAATCATTACCATGCATGTCCATGTCACACTGATTCGCGAATGAGAAAATTTATATAGAGCGTTTTCACTTACGTGGCCAGCATCTATGCCAATTTATTGGGACCAAAAGAAAGCGCGTTTACATAAGAAAAGAGTTCAACTCCTACAAGATTGGTTTGGAACACCAACATGGCTGCCGTTTCATTGTTTTGGAGCACCATCGGGGACCTTACGATCCGACAACGGCAACGCCAATGAAAAAGTCGCTGAAAAATAGAATTCGCGTCTTTTGAAATTTTTTCGCCCTTATCCAAGCCACTCGGTTACTTGAAAGTAGAGAAGTTGAGTTGGAACTGAAGAGAGGGGACTGCGCCCGAGTTCAGGGAGAGATAGTAAAATTAGAGAGATTAAGATTCCCGTTTACGCCAAACGGCAAACATCAGATTCAAGTTGAGAATTTCTGAGAATAGAAAATAAGCAGATAAAAACTGTCCAGAACAATTCTTATGTATAAAACTGGCGTGAAACTAACTATTTGTTAGTCCAAGTAATAAAAAGTTAACGACAATTAAGGGAAAAACTTGGTCACGTGATACAAATTCACGTTTGGCGTAAGGCGCGAATCTTAATTCTCAAGTCAACTTAAAATTTGGTTATTTCACGTCGCAGTTGTGTAGGGATGGCAAAGAAATGTACAAAAAAGTATGAGGCACGTGCAGAGTTGTTGTTTCGCCTAACTTGTTTGACATTCTCGTTGTTGTCGCCGTCGTACTTTCGTGAGGTCCCTAATATGGGCGCCGTGACGTCATGTGAAAACGCTCTATAATTGACGTTTGAAACCCTACAATCAACCCGCTTGACCGTAAATTGCAATCGAGGACACCACAAACAACGCCAAAAAGAACCAGAAGAAGATGCGATCCAGCGCGCGAGCAATCTCTTTCCACGTTTCTTGATTGGTTTCGTCCTCTTTTACTGAGCTTGCGCCAACGGCAACTGATGTCCTTTTTGTCATCTGATTGGCATCGCCCGACTCTAATTCATCAAGTTCTTCTTCTGCTTTCATTCCACTGTTTTGGTTACTAGTCACATCCGTGACCGGCGATGTTGCGGATAGCTTACCGCCTTTGGTTCTCCTTCCTCTGCAGCAAGCAATCCCGTTTAAAACTGAAAAGAAATGTCATGCGTGGCATAAACAGGAGCATACGAATAGCATGGCACTTAAAGATAACGGCATAAACACAAAGAGAAGTATCAAAACCTTGCGTTCTTCTTATCCCTATAAATCTAGCTTAAATTATGTCACACCGTCCTCGCAAGCGCGCAAGCTTCCTATAGTTATGCTACTACTTGCGCTTGCGTCGCTAGTGAGGGCCAGGCTTAACTAAACAGCCACGCTATTATCCTGTATATACAGTCGACGCCCAATAACTTGAACCCCCAAGGGAAATCGAAAAAAGTTCGAGTTATCGGGAGCTAGAAGCAAATAGCCGGAAGTAAGGGCAAACCAGTTTTTACTGTATAGTGAACATTTTAATCCATTTAATTGTATAGATTTTAAATGAAAATTGAAAAACAATTCAAGATTATATATCAGAACGTAACGTAACAAAACATAGCCTAATAGAGCATACGTTTACTGTTTTGAGAAGTAAAGCTGTGTCACGTTAGATTTGTTACAAACAACGTCAGCCTCCTTTTGTAAACTATATGCCTACAACACGTCAATGGGAAATTCACAATTCAATGTTTCGAACGCCAGTACACTGTTTTTTGTTTTCCCGACTTTTTAAGTGCTCAAAACATGGTTCGAGTTTTGGAGGGTAAATTTTTATAGAAATGATCTGTCAGGGAAACAAAAATTACTTCAAGTTACTTCGGGAGGTTCGAGTTATCGAGGGTTCGAGTTGCCGAGGGTAAAATTACAGTAAATGTATGAAGGAAATCCAGGGTTTAATCGATTTTGGTTCGAGTTCGCGTAGTTCGAGTTATGGGGAGTCAACTGTATAGCTATCTACACAAAGACTACCTCGTGAGTCTGGGCAAGATTTTCACGCATACAAAAATTTTACGTCGATCGTACCACATAAAATAAATACGTTTTGATGACTCATTTCATTAATATGCTTTAAATTTAACAGTACTGCTTCGATCCCTAATCTATTTGTCATTTCTGCTCGACGAGTATGATTTTATAAATTTAAGAACGATAGAGGAGCGCTTGTTAAACCCTGGTTTTCACTAGCCCGTAAGCATGAGCATAAGGACATACGCACGAGCAGAATGGCATATTTGACTCAATTACCAGCTCTCCTGAACCCGATTATAAACAAGATGGCGGACGCTTCGTCCGCCATACTGCTTTTGATATGTTCGCATGAGTTCTGGTCAAAGTGATCTATGATTGGTCAAAGGCCTTGTGCTTATGCTAGTGCTTATCTCGACCCCGTTTTCACTAGTCAAAGCTACGACATAAGCATAAGCACAAGCACAAGAAGAACGATCTTGTCCGTTTTTCTTGTGCTTATACTTATGCCGACCCAGTTTTCACTTGCTTACACGTGCGCTTGTGCTTATGCTTATGCTCATGCTTTTGCGCTAGTGAAAACTCACCTGGCTTAAGAGTAACATGAAGTGCCATGTAAAGCATGGTTTCTATAACTCTGCAGATCGTATCACCTTTGTATAGAATTCTGTCCTCGCTCTAGCCAGTCGTACGCACGGTCCTGGCATATCCGAGGTACTTTGGAATGAATTTCCCGATCCCCTGGGACCAGTTGTTCGAAGACCGATTAGCGCTTAACCCGGGGTTAAATTTAACCCAGGTTTCTTTTTCTTGTGTTCAAAAGCATTTTCTCGGATAATTTTCTGTGCTATTTTAGAGCTTCCAATCATCAGCTTGTAGACAAAAAGAATTAAAACTGAAATGCTTTCTAAGCTTTCATATCTGAATTCAAATATCGCACTAACCTTGGTTTATCTTAACCCAGCTTTGAACAACTCGGCCCTGAACAATAAGTGATCAGTGTGTTTACATGAAAACCATCCTTGCATACAGGTTCGTTCCTAGATTTGGCTAGAACAGCGAGCGTAGCATACCATAAACGGAATAGACCTTTTTACCGATGCGGCGGCCATATTGAATTTATTGGATTTAAGGAGTATTATGCCCAGGGGGCACTCGCTCGGTATTTACGCGCGCTTTTCTGGCAAAAAGAGAACTTCACTGTATATTTCTCGGGAAAAAGGCGATCATTATTACATCCAAACACGGCACAACGATCTTTTTTTCCCATTACAATCTTTTTCCAGGAAAACTTAAAGAAAAATTGGCCCGAAAAGCGCACGTAAATACCAAGTGAGTATATCGGATCGTGCTCATGTCCCCTGGACATCCCATAATACTCCTTAAATCTAATAAATTCAATATGGCTGCCGTATCGGTAAAAAGGTCGATTCTAGAAGTGGGTTGTATCGACTTCCATATACAGAACTTACAGGTATCTTTCCAAAAACATTACTAACCTATTAAACAGGTCAAAAAGCTTGGAGGCTCTGACGTGGCGTGATGAGCCATCAGTACCAGAACAGTAGCGGTCAGCGCCAATCCAATTTCAAACATGATCACTATAAAGTAAATACCAATCAACGGCATTGTGTCTGACTGCTCAGGCAACTGTTCCGTAACAACAAGAAGGTAAACGCTGACAGCTAGCAAAATGGTGGCGCACAGGCCAATACGTTCACCACTCTCCGCCGGAATGAAGAAGCTAACAAGAATCAGCAAACCGATTATCATGCAAGGCACGAATGAGAAGAGAAGGAAGAACATGGGCTTGCGTCCGATAGAAAACGACACAAGAACCTCGCTGAATTTACGTCCTTGGAAGTGGTCTTTGGACTTAATCTCTATGCCTCTCAGCGACCAGTAACCGTTGCTTGTGGTGAGATTAAGCTCTGTTGAAATGAAGGAGTAAATGTTTTGGTTTTGAGTTCAAGTTAGGTCAGATTAGTGGTACAGGATTCACCAGTTTACGGATAGATTAATCAATTAGTTTTTACGGTTTTCAACACTTCAATCGCCTTAGTACTATAAAGCATTCCTGTTTTCGAAATTATAATCTCTGATGTGACTCGACTGGAACCGATATTGGTCGGAATTGATTTATTCTGTCTTTATCAAAGTGTTGGGGAATAAATGATGAATCAAAGTGGACTGGTTATGGTGTTAATAACAATGATTGCGATAGAGGAAGGGCGTGGTCATTGGGATGAGACGGAGGATTAAGAAGAGAGGGGGGAGGGAGGATGCCGACTGGCTGATCTTGACGATGGGAATGACCAGGAGGAGGAGGAGAAGGCGAAGAGGATGACGATCGAGTGATGATTATAAGGAGCCAGAGGAAGGCAATGTTAAAATTGAGGAGGTTGATTCATGTCGTAGCAGTGACGCAGATGATAATGGGGAGGAAGAAGAGAAGGAAGATTATAGTAATGTTGACGAGGATGGTGTTCCAGTGAGGATCGTGGTAATAATAATGATTGTAAAGCTGGCGACAATATTGTTAGTGGTGACGATAGTTTTTATATTCCACCAATTGTTCTATTTGATTGTTTGTTTCTTTTTCCATCCGTGCAATAGTGACATAAGCTAGCTTTGATGACAAAGAATCAATCTGATCCTATCTGGCTATCTCACCTTCACTAGGTTCATCGCTTTCGATCTTTTTTGTGTAGATGACCATGAGCGAGCTGTCAGTTGTAAGCGATCGAAACTCCATTTTGCACTTCTGTGTGTCGAAAGGAAACTTCTGTACGTTGAGAGGGCATGTACTTTTAAAGGTTGCAGGGGAAAACCATGTATTTTCCCCATTGTTCTGCACAGTGACAAAACTTCGAAATTTCTCCAAATAACCCGCTTGAATGGTTAAGCTGTCTGCACTGAAAGAAAGAAAGATATTCACGACGTGTGAGGCAACATTGCGTTATAAGAAAAACATAACGTACGTAAAACAAGGACTAATGAATAAAACAAGAAAAATAAATAAGAGTTAAGTGACGACGTCCTCAGTTGAATGTGAATACCTGTAAAAAATAATAAGTCGTGGAAAGAAAGATATATATCTTTGAAGTCCCCCAGTCAATGCTTGGCTATATTGATTTACTGTGTAGACTTTCAATAAGTCCTTCGTCTGATTTAATATGGCGCGGGGACAAAGCCTCTCGCGACTTCGTCGCTCGCTCGGCCACTGGAACTGAAAAAGCTTTAAACGCAATTTCTTAGACTAACTTGTTCTGCAGAACGATGTCTGGCACCCATATCTCCTTTGGTTCAACTAGGATTTGCTTTATTCCGTCATAATCCGCAGCATTCCATTGAAGAAACGGATTCGTCCACTTCTGTTAGCATAGAGAAAAAAATGGGCAGACAGAGTCAACCTTCATTTTGAAAGTTCCCTGATTTTTAAAGAGATTGTATTTCAAAACAACATGTTTTGCTCCCAAACGACAAAGAGCTGCATCGCTATTTTACAGCTATTCTTTTGGGTGTCACCGTTAAATGTACACCGCATTTTTAGGGAGTTATTATAACTCCAAAAATGGAGTAAAAATTTTAGGTGCAGGATAACCCCTTTTTTGAGGTTATTTTAACTCCTAATTTAACTCCGAATTTGGGATCATTTTTACTCCTGAAAAAGAGTTCTTTTTACTCCCAGTCTGGAGTTAAAATAACTCCGAAATGGGGTTACTTTTACTCCTAACATGGGTTGTTTTTACTCTTTTTGGAGTTAATTTAACTCTGAAAGTGGAGTAAAAATTTTAGGTACAGGATAACTCCTTTTTTGGGGTTATTTTAACTCAATATCTGGGGTCACTTTTACTTCTGAAAAAGAGTTTTTTAAACTCCTTTTTGGAGTTAACATAACTCCCCAAAAAATAACTCCACTGTAAGGAGTTAAATTAGTCCCACTAGACGAGTTATTATAACTCCTTGAAAATTACTGTGCATGGGTACTATTTGTTCCGTGTCAAAAAGATGGCAACCAGTTGCAAAGATACTTGAGCCACTGTACCTTAATTGGGTTTCAAGTTAAATGGCCTTTCCATGTGCCTGTGATCTCCCCTTCTCAAAGTTGTTAGCAATACAAGACCATGTTCAAAACTAGGAGTAAAAACTTTGTGGGGGGTGGGGGGAGGAGAGTAAATGTGTGACTAGCAGCGATTTGAAGGGAAAAGGCCGGTTTTTCGTCCGTGTCTGAGTATTTTTACAACAGGTTGTACTACGTATTTAGACTATTTAAGCTGCCCTACATTTTAAAAAAAAAAATTTTCAAATTTTTTCATTCATTTTCTTTCATTTGACATTACAATACATTACAATATCACTCATTAATATATTACTAATAATACATGCACTGACAAATACCAGACTGATTACAAATTCAAAATACAAATTACAAATACAAAAAGAAAGCATACAACATGAAAAATAAGCTACTAAATTATTTATAAGAAAAGAGAGCAAAGCCAAATAATGCGAAAGTGCAAAAAACAAATATATTTAAATTTATTTATTATTGTGTATATAACGTATTTATGTCAGTTGGGCGGCAAAAGCGTGTTGGTCAAGTGATGTGTGGGAAAGAGGGATTAAGAAAGCATTGAGATAAAGAATTAATTTGAGTCTCTGGGTTTCACCCTTGATGGCTTTTTTAACCTACTTCCTGTCTCTATTGACTGTAAAGTTTTGACCCTAGAGAAGTGTCTTCTTAGAAAATTAACGATATTTCGCGGGTCCTTACTTGCGTGACTGTAGTGTCTGTAGTAATGACTTGATCCTTGTTGTTCTGGAAAATAAAAAAAACTGTTTTTAATTAAGAAATGAGAATCTTGAAAAAGAAATCTTCAAATAAGTGTACCTTATAGACTTAAGGGTAAACTTATCGTTACAGTTGTTACACCCTATTTAAAGTCAGCAAGACTTTTCATGGGTAGTCCAGTGTTAAGTTAGCAATGACAACTGAATAAAACCATTGAGGACGCATTTTTTAAAGTTTAGCATCCATGTGAAGTGAATTTCGTCTCAAATTTCAGCGATAAAAAGACCTGTTACTCCAGTGTATGTCGTTAGTTTTCAAAACTTCCTGGGCACCCTCCTGCAGGCATTTGTGACAGGTATTCATCCAAAATATTTATTCTTTCTGATTGGCCCGAATCTCCCGGCTAATACTTCTTAACGAGCTGGCGTTGACCAAATTTTGTAGTTTGTGATATCCAGTATATTGAATTAAGGCAATAGTACGGCATTGCCAGAAGAGGGGATGCTTGCTACGTGCGGAAAATGGCAGAAAATTTCACACTTTTTGCGGAGTAGAATAACTAAACTACCTGAAAACACAGATACAAACAAAACTAAAAATTCAACGGATGACAATTGCTATTTGAAGAATATATGCTGCATTAAAGATATCCCTTTATATCCTTAATTTGCCGATGGATAGGGAGATGACAGACAGCCATAAGTAACATCGATCGATGTAAGCAGGTTTCAGTAATGTATCGTATGATCGAGGAAGGCCTCGGCAGGTAACACCCTCCCCGATCTGCATAATTTTTCATATCATACTCAGTCTCATCCAATAATTATTAATTAATTTTACTTGTGGTCGCGGCATAACGTATTAATGTGCCTGCCCATTAATGTTTTCGGTAATTCAATCTGAATACGATTAGGGATTATGGCATATTGCAAACAATTTTGAGTGATCTTTTAGTAAATATGATTGAGCTATTTGATCAAAACTATATAAATTAAATAATTACTTCTCAAACTCATTAATCAAGAAAATACAAAGGAAATTTTATGTTTAATGAGGTTTTGGAAATCAGATGAAACACTGCTCATTTTTGCGTCCTTAATTTCTCCTTCTAAAATCATTTTGTTTGAGAAGTAATATCAAGCATTCGACTCAGTGTTTCACCACCAGATGAAACACATCGAAGTTCGTCAAAAATATTCCGCTGCGCGTCGTATTTTCAACTCTTTTCTCAGTGTTTCATGAAACACTGCGTCTGATGCATGATATATTACTTTTAACACCAACCTACCACTTCACTCAGCGCCGTGAACTCAACCAAAAACGTAACATTAATAACATCAGATGGCTGTAATACTGGCCGGACCATTCTGTCGTATCCATTGAACAGAGCTCTTCGCAGTTTATATTCAGCCGATTGAGATATATTGTGTTCTCCGAGCCCTAAAATGGCTGTAAAACAGAGTGTAATCCAATAAGAAGGAAAGTTTTATAATCAGTAGTCCATTTTCGAATACATTTTCATAGTACTATAAAATTAGTGGCTTGCTATGGGACAGCGCAATTTTTGGTGACTGAGTTAACGACTACAAGACCAGTCACTAGATAGAAGGCGTAATAGTCCAACTTCTTAATTTCTTAATTCAACAACATGAACTAACCATTTTTTCGAAGGATATTCAGGGTTTATTAGATATTGAACCCCGCTATTTCGAGGTCCCAAAACAGACAGAAATAGCGGGGCTTTTGTAAAATAACCGGGGAAATATGCGTTTAAAATTTTTTTTTTTTTGGGAGAAAATATTTTTTTTCTGAAAGTTTAGGGGCATTCGATCGTCCTTCGAAATAGCGGGGACTTCGAATTAACCGAGTTCGAAATAGCGAGGTTCGACTGTACCAGAAAGGCATTCGTGTTAAATCACATAATGAACACCCCTCAATTGTGACTGAGTTATTTTAACCCAATGCCGTTTAATCACATTTTAAGACAAGCGTGTCTTGACTTTTCAGTGGTGAGACAGTTTGGAGGGAAATTTACAAGCTGAATTGTAATATCCTCTATTTCTATAGTGGATAACGGAAGTTTAAAGAAATCAGAGGACGTCAATACAAAGCCGTAGTTAAACATTACAGGAAGTGGCCGCAAGCGTACTTATAAGAGACTAAATTTCAGTGAAATTTAACCGGCTCAGCAAACCAGAATCTTATCTGATTTCCATTTTATGCCTTAAGAAAAAACTATAGTAAGCTTGCTCATCTTTGAATCCTCTCCGGAACTGTCCGCTGTGGCTCTGTTAGCCCTTGAAAGTAATTTTAATATTTTTAGGTATGATTATTTAAAACTAATCGGTGAATGGCATTTAGAACAAAGAGGCAACGGAAGTTTCGTGGCTCTATTTTGAGCAATTGGTAAATACTAGTTGAACGAAAGTCGATGGAAGCAGTCAAAGAAAAGTCACTGAAGTACGTAGATTGTTCTTTATGTTAAGGAAGTTTAGTTGTCCAGAAGTTTAAAATCCCTTCTATTGAAATATGTTTCAAATTAATTTCTTTTGCTTAAAAGCAGGAATCGACTGAACAAATTATCTTGGCTTCACTTTTTATCAACTTGAAGAATTGTACTGTGTATTCCTGTTTATTCCATATATTAGCCTATCGCATAACACATGCAACGCGACAAATGCAGTACCCTGCAATGAAATCACCCCAAAAAGCGTTGCAAGACGCGATGCTTTTTGTCTTCTCTATGTACCGAACTCTACTGACCGTTTCGTTACCGTTCATGATCACTTCACCTATAGCAAACAAATCTCTCATCTTAGGCACCAAAAGCATAATTAAAGTAGTGCTTAAATACGTACGCGTGCAAACCTGTCGCGGCAAGGTTTGAAATTGCTTGCCACAAATTTCTACAGTAGCTAAACATAATATTCGGCCTTTTCCTGGGCCAAATGTCTTAAATTAAAAAAGACTGTAGAATGATAAGACTTAAGAAGGCTAAAGGCTAAAGGCGCTTACCAGACAAATGGACCATGAAAAACAGACAAATACAACGAGGCAGCCACAACATATCGCTTTGAAAATACTGAACTCAACAAGCTCAACTCGTCCTGGGAAAATCCAATGGGCAAATTTATTCCTGATGTTAAGGTGTTTGTATTTATGTAGCTAACAATCTCACGCCATGGGTGTTTTTGTTTCGCTAAGTGAACCGCAATACTCACAAAAGAACATGGAATTGTCAAAAAAGGAATAATGCGGCAGTTGCTAAGACACATATGACGACAGCACACCCCTAAACACGCTATGACGTTAAGTGTTCTTAGTGATTAAAATAATGTCGGGATAACAACTCTGTAAAAACGTTTGGAGCGTACTCATTTCATGGGCTTTATAAACTAAGGGTGATTTCGATTGAGCTTATTCTCCGTGAATAGGAATATATTAAGTACCTAGGAAAGTCAAGAATTTTCGCTCATTATGACCTGCTATAAATAGAATATTTTCTAAACATTTTGTTTTGGGGAGCGGAACTTACATAAAAGCGGAATAGTGATGTCATTTTGACGTCATTTTTTTTTTAAGAAAAAGAAAGTAACGTGAGACGAGTAATAGAAAATTGTGTTTCTTGTTTCAGTCATTGTACGCTCTTTAAATAATATAATATTCTCCAAAACAAAGTCCTTAGCTCTCTTCCTGCAGAAATTAATGTACTTCCGTTTTTCAAAGTTGATATATGACGCCATATTTGTAAAAATATTCCTGAAAAACCATCGTTCAAGATGTACAAAACAGGGGTATTATTCAGTGAGAACAGTATTTCAGAATATATTCCTATTCAAGAGCCGAAGGGGTTATCGAACGTCCCCCAATATTAAAACACCTGTAACAAGGTTGTTTACAGCCGGACTGGCCCTCAATGTCTGACGAATGTGATCTTTATTTTTTGTTATATATTGCCTTTAAAAACTGACTTAAACGCAAGCATGTTACTGATTAACTGCCCACGTCAATGTCACGGAAAAAGTCAACAACTAAGGCAATATCATTGCCTGAGCGACAAGAAGAAAAGGATAATATTACGTATTTGTCTGGTATCAGCAGAGTTTTCCGGCCCCTCTTTTCAGTTCAGTTGACTTAAAACCTTTTTTCGCTGGATTAGCCTGATTTCCCTTTGCTTTCTCTCTGTTTTTCTCTCTCTTTTTTGTTTTCTCCGCATTTTTTGCCAATTTGTCTTGTGGGCAATCTCACTGCATTTTAACATCATTATTTATTTTTCGGTAAATCAGGGATTGAATTCAAAAGATTTAAGAGCCAACGGTTTCAGTGACGGTTTGTGGCAACACGTAATCTTTGAAGGTTTCTGTGGCTTTATCCACGCCATATTTCAGGAAACATCAACTATCAAAAACTGAAGAATCCCGAGTGGCCCAAATACTAGCACACACTTCTTCTTTTAATGGCAGTAATTCTCAAAGAACTTCACTAAAAGGGTGTTTGGCCATAATTTTCAACCCTTTTTTGTTCAAAGCGATAATATGGGCAGCCGTCATGGAGAGAACGTAATCATAATATTTACTTTTAGAGGTCCACGTGTCTTAGTTCCAGATCCAAATAAATAAGTATAACATTACAACAACAACATCAGGCGAAATAGTATATCAGCATTACCATATGCAAAATCACTTTGGTTCGTGTTGTATGTGTTGCTGGATAAATGTGACGCTAATTCATGGGCGGTATGGTTTGCTTCCAATTTCTTATCAACAGAGATTTACTAAAGCAACAATTAAACTTGAGTGTAAAAGTCGACGTTTCGGCGTCATAGTAACGCCGAAGACTATTAATAACAAGTCTCGAATAATTAGCATACTGCTAACAAAGAAAATCATAATTTCAGATAACATTTTAGCACAAACAGAGTCAGTTTTTTCATTCGGGGATGGTTTGAACTTACGAATGACGTTATCCATAAACAAAAACGTAAATTAGAGAAAGGGCCCAGAAGAAGAATCACAGAGTTATGTCCGGGTTCGTGAAGGAGACCCAACCAGCATGCATGCTGCGTTCGATTTACCCCTCGAATATTCCAAAAGAGCTTATCAGTAGGACGTACAATCAGATTTGAGATACCCTCACCGTAATATTTTGGAGATAATATCATGATGTTTTGGCCGGAAAGAATAAACCTTCAATATATAGCCTGACCAGCCCTATATGGAAAAATATAAACATTGTGAGATATCTGTTTATGTTACGAGAGGTATGACTAAGTCAGATGATCTGTCTCTGAAACGCCATCAAACGGGAACTGTAAGGAAGGAACAGCGCAGAACCCACTGCAAGCACACACAACTGGCCAAACCTCGATTGCAACTGAACCCAATTTTTAGGTTAGTTAGGTCATTTCTGAGTTGCTTCAAGCCTCTGTTTGAAAGCGAAGCTAATTAAGTGGGAAGCCATTAATATGAAAATGATTTTCTATTCCCTAAAACATAAAACTCACTTTAACAACATAGGTTTTGCAGTTATATAGCCTCGTTTTGAAAGTGAGAGTTTTTGGAACTGGGAAATGGCGTATTGGTCGAGGTGTTGGGTGAGAAAGCAAACACTCGTCAAACGAAAGATCTGGAGCAATAAATGAGAGTGTGAGTCCATGGCGGGCTTGTGAGGCTTAGCTCCTTCTCAGGGTTCTCTCCTGGGGACGAGGTTAGTGTGGGGCTCGCGCACATTGCGCTAAGAATAAGGAGCTTTAGCAATGACGACGGTGAGGGCGACCGCGACGACGACGGCGACGATCGGACGTCAAAAAAACAATAGGTTTATTGAGCCCACTTTCTCGTTTTATGGAGGACGTAAACAAGCGCAAATTTCTTCTTTCTCTTTCTAACCTTGAGTGCGGTCCCCAAGTAGTCAACTCCAAGAAAATTCGCCTACATTTGATATTTTTAGCGAACTGGAATAAACGCGACAAAGTTGGAAAAAACGCGAATTCATTTTTAAAGTGACATTTTTGCTGCCGTTGCCGTCGTCGATGCTAAAGCTCCCCGCAGTATACGCCGGCGATTCGCGCCTCACTTTTTGCAAATTAAAAGCCAAGAGAGAGAGAAACCGTCCGTTTTACAGTCTAGATCAAAACTTATTAAAATATGTACGTTTTCAAACGAATCAGCATTAGTGTCCACGGGGTATTAGGTCAGTCGACTGTTTTTCAAGCAAGTCAAGTAACCTATTCAATGTTGTTGTGTTTAGAAACTAATTACTAGGTGATTAGTGTTTTTATGTTTGAAAGTCGTGTTTTTTCGTTACCAAACAACTTAAAATGCATAAAGCCTGGTTCATATTAATTTTTTCTCTCTAGGGACATAGGTCATTGTCCGAACGAAATTCATTTTCTATCCAATCTAAGTTTTCTATTGTTTTTCACATCATGTCACAAAGTAATTCAGCCTCTTTAGTTGCTGTTTGCTCTTTCAGTTTCACAACATTATCATTTTGCGAGCCAGCAGCTCATATAAAATACAGTGTTTAGGCTTAGTCCTTCGCCATGCTTAGGCTTTCAAACTGTTGACCAACAATGAGCTTGATTTTCAAGATTGCAACACTTCTATTTTCATCACTCCTAACAGGTTAGTCGCCATGCGGAATTACTTGTTTCTGCTTGTTAACTGCACACAGTGAATGTAGAAAAATTAACAATAACGAACTTACGAGAAAGTCAGAGAAAGGTGAAGTAACCCTTTATCAGTTGTTTCAAACAGAACGACAAAGAACAGTAGAGTCCAGGAAGATACTTGATGCAATTTGCAAAGTTGGTGTTCAGAAATGAGCTCTTTTGTTCATCCTACATTCTCATTCAACTTATCCGACCCTTTCAATGCAATGTACCATAACATGTACCGTGGTCATTAAGTTGTTGATTTTTTTGGCACCCTAAGTAATAGAAGGAGAGACCTTCAAATAAGCCGGTAAAACTAAGCCACTACAAATTACCATGTTAAAACCCGAACCCCCAAGCATAGTCGTTTACAACGTAGGCGGCTAAGTGCTGCACTCTAGGTCCGTCATAAGAAGCGTTTGGTTGTTTCCTTATAAAGTCGTTTTGCTACAAGTCAACTCTTGTCATGAAAACTATTCCTCTTATGATACTAATGACTCTGTTAAAATGAATCGAATCGACTTAGTAACTGCCGAGTCAGGCGAAATAACTTAGTGAGCAGCCATGTTGACAGTGAGTCTAAACGCCTACGCAGTCGCGCAGCGTGGCAGAGTTTCAACTTCAAGAATGCAAAGATAGTGCGTCTGCAAAGGTCTGTCTCTTAAGGTGGATTTCCACTGCCGCGTAATTTTTACATGCGTACGCTCGTAAATAAAATAGAGGCAATGGAAGGAAGTACGCGCGTACTGAAATAAAATAGAGGAAATGTATGGAAGGTCACGCGTAAACGTAAAAGTTGAACCTGGCTCAACTTTTGCGTTAAGCGCGGCCTTTCATACCTTGCCTCTATTTTATGTAAGCGTGTACAGTTTACGAGCGTAGACACGTGAAAATTACGCGACAGTAGAAATCCACCCTTACATTAAGATCCGCATTTTACACTGAAAACCGATAGAGGGGGCTAAGTGCTGCGGGGGAGGCTCTCTGTAATCAGAATTGTTGTGTTGTTTCTGTACAAATTCGTTTTGCTACAATTAAGTCAATTTTTGGAAAGAGTGAACTATCATAGTGTGCTCTTGGTCGTTCGAGGAACACTGACTGAGTTGATGTGTTATCGTACAAACTGTATTCATCAGCGTAACGAATCGGTTCAGTGACTACAGTGTGGTTAAATGACTTGGTGGGTAGCCTCGTTGGCAGAGAAGCTAAATACCTTCGCAGTCGCGACGTGGCTGAACTTTAACTTAAAAAATGCAAACATAGTGCGTGTGCTAATGTCCGTCTCTTAGGGCGCTTTCCAAAAGTCAGAGCTGGCCGGCCGGACCATGGCCGCACCAGTCATCTTGACACAGACATAAGCTTTTTCAAAGAGTTTTTGCTCAAAGAAGAAGAAGAAGAAGAAGAAGAAGAAGAAGAACCATTATTAATTTATACCGCTCAGGGTAGCCCCTTCAGACGCAAAAAGCTGTCTGTTATCAATGAGAGCCCTGAGCAACAACGCACAAAAACCACACTAAACATATAAACATTACACTAATACAGATAATAATATAAATAGAAAACTATTTTCAATTAAAAGATTAAAAGATGTAAAACACGAAATATCATTAAGATAATTCGTTAAGAAGAGTGCAACCATAATAATAGAAGGATCTTTTTGCAATTTCAGTTCTCACAGCAGGCGGTTGTAAGAGGTTGCTTTGTCTAGTAGCGCGCATGGATTGTATTATTACGTTTAAAATATTGTTTAAAATACTGGGGACATTGACCTTGCAGGTATTTCTTAACGAGTTTAAAAACAGATTGACGGCGGCGCTCCTCCAAGGTGGGCCATTTCAGAACGTCCAATGCCTGCTTGCTGCGCACAGTACAAGCCACTATCCTAGCAGCCCGGTTTTGGAGGGCTTCAAGGTCTTGTTTACGACCTTCCCCACAATAGCCCCACACACTTACACAGTATTCTAAAATTGGCCTAATTAGACTACAATACACTACATTTGCACTCTCTCTAGTGAGGCTTCTGCGAAGCCTGTCGGGCATTCCTACGCGTTTTCCCGCCTTCGAAATTAGGTACTTTATTTGCTCGTTCCAGCTAAGGTGGTCATCAAAAACTATACCTAGATAAGTGAAGTGAAAAACCCGCTTAATTACATTGTTATTTAAAGTAATAGAAAAAGAGTTAACAGCAGATAATCTAGGGGCGGTTCCGAAAAGCATAGCTTCGGTTTTTGTTACATTAACAAACAGACTATTAAAAGAAAGCCAGTGATCAATCTTAGACAGTTCGGCATTCAGCTTGTCTTGAATGACAGAGGCTTGAGAGGATGAACAGTATAAAACAGTGTCATCAGCGTACATCAGAATATTGCAATCGGACACTACTTCAGGTAAATCATTAATGTGTAGAATAAACAATAATGGTCCGAGGATAGAGCCCTGAGGCACACCAGTAGAGACGGCTTCCGAAGCAGAAGTCACCCCTTGAAACTCTACAACTTGGGTGCGGTTCGACAGGTAATCCGTAAACCAGCCATGCTCTTTATCCAAAATCACCAAATTGGAAAGCTTGTCCAGAAGTACCACATGATCCACAGTGTCGAAAGCTTTGCGAAGGTCAATAAACACAGCACCAGTTAATTGACCTTGGTCCATGTGGTCAAAAAAAGTCATGTTCGTGCATACCATTTAGGATTTAACATATGCGGCAGGATAGTTTTGTTTAAAAGTGAAATTCTCATTACGACGGGAATGGTCTGGCCGGTCAGTTCTGACAAATGAAAAGCGCCCTTAGACTTAACTTTCTTACAAGACCAGGTAATGATTAATCGAGCGAGGGCACGAAAAATGCTAGCGACAGCGAATTAGTGAGTACGCCTCGGGAATTCAGCGAAGACGTTTTTCAAGTTTATCTCAAGCCGGAGTGTAACCTTAATTGAGTTACCAAAAATCACCGCTAATCTGCGTGATATACATTATTTTCATGAAAACAAATGGTACCAATAGTTACGAACATAGTCCCTATAGGTTTTCTACAGTGGTCATTAAACACTCTTCCCGCGTAAGAAAACCCATAGGCGGCCTCATGGTTCAATGGCTGCCCCACCCGTGTGCCGAAACCTCTTAGTTTGATTATGTTCGAATTTAGATTGATCTTGGAGCCACAACTGGTTCAAAAGACCAAAATGTATATAAGTGTGAATTATGAGAACAGTTTTACTTATAGCTAATTGATGTGTTAGGTTCGACACTTGACAATATTATCCGATGAGTCAAAGTGCTACTACAGTGTCGGATCAGCTACGTTAGCTTCTGCCAAACATATTACTTGAACTTGGCGTGCCATGCTAAGCTTAAACTGCGCCTACTGATTCATTCCACCTCTGCACCTAATTCAGCATTTGGTTTCGCAAAATGAATGGTGCGGAGTTTGAGTCGCGGCCCATATTTAGATGACTCAGTAAATGATGACTCCCGCAACTAACTCATCCTTTCTTTCTCTTAGTATCTGCAGCGAGCGCCTCAACGTTGCCTTGGCCCAGAATAGGCATGTCAAACGAGCACCGACTCCGCCAAGAACTTTTCCCCGGTGGCTCAAACAATGGCCGCATGACTCGGCCTGCTTTGAACTGCTCAGAGGCGGTTACTGTGAAGTTCATTGTCCAATTGAATGCAGTTGTGGACGTGGTAAGCACGTAATGCTTAAATAAAGTGGAGCATCGGGATAACTTGCCTGCCTAACGAGCAAGCGTTCCCGCGCGAGTTCGCCAAGAAAGTTGGGACGAAAGCAAAACAAATTTCGTTTTCTCTCGCTGTAACTTTTGCGCAATAACTAGAATGGAAAAGCTTGTTACCTTTATTTTCCTCTTGGTCCAAATTTCGCGCAATAACTCGAATGCAAACGCTTGCTACGCAGGCTATGGGATAACGAAGGGCTTAGGAACCGGGAAAATATGTTTGTTATAACGAAGTTCGTTACGAGATTGTTCGTTATACCGAGAACTTCGTTATACAGAGGTTCGTTGAGGTTCCACTGAAGTGGTTCTGATCAGCCCACATTTTGAATGTAGAGCCAGTGGCGGATCCAGCGGAGGGACCTGGGGGTCTGCCCCCCCACCCTTATTTTAGATTTTAGACCCCCCTTCTCCCTTATCTCAGGGTCTGGATCCGGCACGGACAACAGCTATCGAACTGGCAATTACCAGGGGCGGATCTAGGGGGAGGGTGCAGGGGGTGCGCACCCCCCCTGAGATTACCTGCAGTTTTCTAATACAACTGGTATTCTGCAAAAAAAAAAAAAAAAATTGGTTTATTGGTGTTGAAGTCAAGAGCAAGAGACGAGTGCACCCCCTCCTAAGAGAAATCCTGGATCCGCCCCTGATTACTGAGGTTCTTTTAGGCGGTTGCGTTTCGCCAAATTTAAATTGAAGAGCCAAATGACGTTGAACAAAACTGTGGAACCCACCCTTCCTTAAATGTCTAATCTTTAAGCTGAAATTTCTAACTAGCAGGACATGAAAGTTTTGATTCAAGTAAATTATAGTCAAATTTTTATGTATTCTCAAAAGTTTTTTTTTTTTTTTTTTTACACAGGATAAGAAAGGACAAGTTGTTTCCACAGATGCATTCATCAAACAGGTCAGAGTTCTCGAGACACCGTAAACCTTTATCTTTTCTTCTACGTAAACTTTGCATTGGCTTATTGTTCACAAATATCACTGAGATATAGTTCAGACCTTCAATTTATTGATCGATGTAATCTAAATCGTCTAGATCACTCGTTTTGTATCAGCGCTCGTTGGTCACGAGGAAATTGACCGTTAGGCTTAAAGGGCGAGAATGGTAAATAATCTTTATTGTTATTTATCATCATC